GCAGAGTTCCAGAAACCGGCGTCCGTCCCGTCCGAAGCCAATGATAGACGGACTGGACGCTTGGGAACACTGGGCCGCATAAGTTACCTCTAGTTTCTTCCTTGAAAGTTTTTTCTCTCTCTTCCTCTTCCCCTCACTCCTCCCCTCTCTTCCCTCCTTCCCCCTGCATATGGTCACCCCAGACCAGGAGTCCACGGGCGGTGATATATCGTATTCTCGCAACTTTACGAACGGCTGTGACTTCTTTATCGTATAGTGCAATATTATCGGCAATATTTTCTACACCCTCCCTATTTTCTTATTTTTTTTAAATAGCGAAGAGGGATCCTTTCAGGGCGTTTGGTCTTAGATCTGGGGCATTTTGTTAAGCTGTTTGTGTGTTATCTGTATCCTAGCGGTCTCCATTTACATTTAATCGATATATGTGTATCCTGCCGTAACATGGGAGCGTCCTACTCGAGTATGCACCATAAATTAGTAATGCTAGTTTATATACTCCTTTACTGAAAACCCGCCACCAACCCGAATGTCTAGTATTGTAATTTTATTAATCAGGAAGCCCAAGGTGCGGGAGGAGGAAAATCACATATTACAAACAATAGGGATAACATAATCAAGTCAGTGTCAAAAACTTTGCAAGCTATTGTATACGGTCACAACAGCGTCCTGTGGTGAAACTACTCCTGGAGCGAATTGATGTCAATCCTAGTCGGATATAGATGGCCGAGTGCCACTATCGTGTGCTGCCGGTTCTAGAATTGAGAGGATAGTGTAGCTACTTTTAGAGCGAGGGGATGTCAATCCTCATCCGCCGCATACATGTCGCCGGGCACCACTATCATATACTGTTGAGTATGGACATGAACGCGTAGTGAAACTCCTCCCTGGCCAAGGGGGTGTCAATCTTGGTTCGGCGGGTATGTTTGACAAGACACCGCTATTATACGCTACCATATCGGAGCATGAGGTCGTAGTAGAGTTAGTCCCGGAGCAAGGGGACATTAACCTTGACTCACTAGATATATACAGCTGGACACCACTATCCTATGCCGGTGATCTGGACACAAGGGCATGGCGAAGCTACTCCTTGAGCGACAGGACGTCAATCGCCATTCGCCGGATATATATGGCCATACACCGCTCTCGCGCTCAGTGGAGTTCGGACACATTGGGGAAATGTGATTATAGGAGCCAAGGCCTTCAGTCACGAAACCTTACAGAACAGAAGCATGACACAACGAGTCCCCATCCCAGCTGTGCGTGCTCAAGAGAGAGTTGGATTAGGACGGGCATTACAACTAGAAGACATTTCAGTCACAAGGCAAGAGATCATAGAAGCTACCCCTCGCCTCCGCCCCGATGAGTCTCCAATCAATCAACTCGAAGTACCCCACTCTGCTTCCAAGTTATTCTCACTCCCACCCCCGCATCCGACATTGCCCCTAACCCCGCTATCTTGAACTCTTCAAGGCCAGTAAAAGGTCTTAGAAAGATCGGCCCGCTCCCGCGTTATTCCAAACGCGAGCATTCCCATCCATCCCAACATCCGTGAGAACGCCTATTGTCCCCATTGATTACCATACCGGACCCCGCTACATAATTACCGCATCCCCATACACATCCACCTCCTCAACTCACCCTTCTACAACTTTAACATCCGCCGGGAAAGAGTGCCCGGACGCACTCAGTGGGGGACCGGTTTCCAGACTTACAGGGTATCTGACGAAAACCCGAGCTCCAGGCCGCCGCAACTGGAACGGGAATAGGAACCAGGGCACATTTCCAGCTCCCATTCTTCGTATCATATAGAATTCTTTTCTCTCGCCCTGGCCTTCACCTTCTGCCGGGGGATTCTGGTGGTCGTAAGCTACTCGGGTTTCTTTGTATCAAAGCGCTTTTCTCCCTCCCTTCCTTGTTCCCCTATCGTGCTCCCTCCAGATTGGGAGTCTATGGGCGTGGATATATCATATAGCCGCAATGTTAAGGACGGCCAAATTATTTAACCTATAGTACAATCGCAACGGCATTGCCACCTTCTTTCCTTATCATCTTCTATTCTCGAACATGCAAGATGGTTTTTTTTCCAAATATCCAAGGCCAGATCCGGGCCGTCCCCTCAAACCGTTTGTAAATTATCCATATGCTACTTGTACTCTTTCCGTTTAGTTGAGACAGGGCAATGCACCGTGCAATGCCTTATGAACCTCCACTACAGTACGCACCACAAAATAACAACCAATTCATACATCCCACACGGCAAATTCGCTATCGCTTCGAAAGTCCGATCTCGTGAATTTGTGGTGTAATAAACTTAAGGTGATTAGATTACCGGTATAACCCTTGGCCGGAGAAAGCTTCCAAATCCCAGATGACTGAAACGGTACAAGTCAGTGGCGAGAATTTCTCAACCCAGCAGCATTCCGCACTTCGGAACCCCAACCAGCAACCACCCCCCTTACTCTTCGTAGGATCAGTCTCCAGTGTATGGACTTTGTCAAACCAGTAGTGAAATTACTTGTACATTGTGGAAGCAAATCTCCGCTCGCTGTTGTGAACCCGCTCGAGGAGCGCGGCCGGGACACGAATCGTTGGACCCACGCTAGGACGTTAAAGTTGCGTTAGCGGTAAGTTCCAGCTCTTTTTTTGTTTTTCCCGGTCTTGGACTAAATTTACAGTAAGCCTTGTCTATCATAGAACACCGGTAAGGCGAGAACCCGGGATACTGAATACCGGTACCGTACTCGAGTATTTTCCGCGAGAAGGGGTCAGAGACCTCGAATTTTCTTTCCGATAGGAAGACAGCCAAAGCCAAGGACAGCGGGGCGCACACGACACGCCCCCAATGTTGAGGCGAAGACCTTGGCGGGGTCGGGGTGGTTCGCCAAGGCTGAATCTGGGAAAATTTCTTGGTCCTTTTAACATTTTCTGTGTTGATCCAGAGCCTTTCCTTGCAGTAAGACCCGAACCAACCCGAACCTACGCTAATTGCATGGATGGAGATATTTGGACAGCAGTGTTGAGGGGGATACATGTTCTGAATTACCGGTAGACTTTTTTGTCTCTTGTTTTCTGGCCCATATCGTGAGGCTTCAATTCAGTTATGATGTAATAGTGTGCTTTCGTGTATGCTCTGAACCCCTTCAGGCCTTCAATAGGGGGATTCGTGAGCTTGAGCCCCGAGGCCTTCGTCGATTTTTGTCACTAACCCCCCCGTTTCGTACCAGCGCTGCGTACCCGGGAAAAATCTTGGAAGATCGTCCGGGAGAAATGAAGAATTTGGGGGGCGAAATCCAGAGTAACGGGGTTCAAAAGGTGCTGCTGGGCTGACACCTTTTGAACAGTACGAGTAGAAACCCTCTGACACCTCCGATCTCTCACAGAATGGCACTTGTTGAATCTGAAAAAGGGTGGTTTTCGGATTCGTAAGGCGTCCGCCCCGGCTCCAATTAGAAGTTGGCCTGCTGGAGCACATGCTGTAAATCTAGCGGTTCAAGCTTCAAATACAAGTACAAGTACCAAGGTCACTATTCATGTCAATCTCCACAATGTCAGCCACAAAACCAAGAGAGCTACATTAAGCGCTTTGCAGAAATACAACCTTTGCAACTTTCGCGCGGAACACCCCGGGATGAGGCCGACACAGACAACCCTCGTCGGCGATCGCCCCCGACGCCCCGACAGGTAGCCACTCGCAACCCCCACCCTTCCCGAGAACCCGGAAGAACAGAGGATAATCTTAATAAGGGAATAAAGCCTTATTCTTCGTCAAATATGATAGCACGAGCACACGCTCTCACCTGTCGCCTCGTACGAAATAAGTAGGATCCCGGCATTCTGGATAACAGGGCGCGACTGCAGCATGATGTGCCAGGATGCTTGGATTCCCGGGGGTTATGAAACTCCGAAACTGGATGGCGGCAGGTGGGGATGTAGGGATTATTTAGTTTGGCAACAATACTGTATGGAATGAAATATTTTAATTTACTCGCACAATGGCACAGAGGTCAGGAGCCCCTCGCGAGCTGCTTCGGGGTTACACCCAATCGGGGCTTTCGTGGAACTTTTTGAGTACCGGTATCCCAATAACCTCGCCTAATAAGTTACTCGAGTACCATCCCCCAGATTCTTATCCACACCACCTACAGTACTTGTACCCGTATCCGTCCATCACGCGGGGGAGTTTTTTCGGGGATATCATACTTCGCAGCCGCTACTAATAGCTAACTTAGTCGCCAGTGCCTCCACAAGACCGCTGGCTTTCGAATTTTGGCGCGGTCTACTGTACTGTAAGTTGCTGTAAGAGCTGGAATAACCGAACCCCATCCCAGGACGTCAGGGCTATATCTCTTAGTAAGGCCTACAAGATTTTCCTTTTTACTCCTCTGGGGGCAATTTTGAGATGTTTTTTTCTGCCTGATTCCCGCCTTAATTTATCCCAAGACGGGAGCTCCAGGCATCTTAAGGTGAGGTTTTATTATTAGTTATGCTATGATACCATGCTTGTAAAATCCCGCGAAATACACTATCAGATGATTAGCGGGAGCCAGTAAATGGAATCCGGAATACTCGTAGGGTTGCTGGGATCTAATACGCGCTATACTGGGTCGGGAAAATGGAAATCCGTCTTGGGAGCTTTTGCCCTAGTCCTTAGATTAATTTGCTGACGGAGGTAATGTAAATTTATTCCGCGAGATTTTACGGTGGCCTCTTAGCGGAGAATCTGGATGATCACTTTTCCTGTTTTTGAATGGCCCTGCCGAGTAATTGTTCCGCATTTTTACACTTTACTGGAGCGGGGGCATCCGGGGGCGATTAGACTAGGGTTGCAACCATCCATCAAAGAGCCGCCCAATTAGGCCTGCGCCCGTGTCGCACGGGCTAATAAGAAGTGGAGCCAATGAGTTTTGTTGAGGGCGCACAAATCCGCAACCCCGGTGTGAGGGGGGGTAACTTTCCAGGATAAGAACACGGTGCGCCTAGGACGGGACTCTCTCGCTCCTGTGCAACAAGAACGCGACCACAATACCCCCCCCGCTAGCATCATGAAGGCCTCCGGTCCAGCCCCCGGGGCTCTTCCCTCCTTGACCGTTGCGAACAGTTGCCTCCAGTAAGCGCTAGTACCATGGTGACGTTCCGGACTCGCTAATGTATCTAGAGCCGGCCAGAATCTCTGTGAACGATACAGGAACATCCGAGGCGTGCACAAGGATATAGAAGACCTAAATATTCGGGTGGAAAATGTCTGGATACACATTGCATACCAATTAGCTAGGGTTCAGAGTTCTTCGGAGGCAGTTCATGACGTTCTGAGAGACCACATAACGGACCTTCTCAATAACCTGCAGCTCCACTTGCATTCCGCCTACAAAAACCTCGAAAAGCTAGCGGACCCAAAAGGGAGGATGAAAGCAATAAAGTTCATTTTTTTCCTGAGGGGTTCCTTGGAGAAAGATATATCGGCATTGGAGAAGTGGAGGGATATGTTCTCCACAACCTTTTTCATGCTATCGTTACCGAAAAATCCAACACTGGATCGGGTCCTGTCGATGGAAGTCAAAAAGGGCCAGCCCAGTGATAATGCTGTGAATGCTGCTAAAGTTATCCATGACGTCCTAGCCGAGGAACCCATGAAACGGGCCTCACCTGTCTGGCTGGACCCCGTGATGATGAACTTCCCGAACCCTATTGGCTACTCTGGGGCTCAAGTTATTTTCGACAATGCTTCTAATAGGAGATACGTTATAGAAACTATCGCCGTTGATTCGGGCTCTGGAAACTACAGCCAGGTTGATAGGGATGTGGAAAAGCTAGCAGGAGGTCTTAGGGAATCCAGGGGTATCCCAGGAGTCCTAGCTTGCAAGGGAGTTGTCAGGAGCCAGAGAATGAACGGGGCCCCCGAAAAGTTTGAGGTCATATTGGAAATGCCCCACGGACTCGGCGATACCCCCGACTGCCTCAGATCTGTTCTCCATAGATCGACCCACGAGCGGCATCCTCTCGAGGAGCGCTTTCTTCTCGCCAGACAGATTACGAAGGGTGTCGTGTTCGTACACAATCTCAGCTTTGTCCACAAAAACATCCGGCCCGAGACTATCCTTGTCTTCCCCAATCCCGGGAAAGTACTAGGCATTCCGTTCCTCGTCGGTTTCCAGATGTTCCGAGCCGCGGACGGTGTTACCTACAGGGCAGGCGATGAGTCCTGGTCAAAGAACCTCTACCGTCATCCCACCCGCCAGGGAAACTACCCGGATAATGTGTATAGGATGAAGCACGACATCTATAGCTTGGGCGTCATTCTATTGGAAATTGGCATGTGGACCCCGTTTGTGGGTGAGGCTGGAGAGCCCGGCGCAGCATTGTCCCAAGTTGTGCCCATCCTCCAGGACAGCAATCAAAAGAAGAAGGCCACCCGGATCAAGGAGTTATTGGTAGACATGGCGCACGATCACTTGCCCCCGGAGGTGGGAACTAAGTATACGGACGTCGTGGTCTCATGCCTGTCGTGTTTGGATAGAGACTCGGAATTGGGTAGCGGAAGTGAGTTCCTGGATGACGATGGTATCTTGGCTAGTCTGAGATATATTCGGCGGGTAAGCCAACCCTATTCATCGATTTTAACGCCCATCCCGAAAGCTAACCTTGTTGGTAGATTTTGAAAGTGCTGGAAGAAATTGAAGTTTGAGGTGAGGATTTAATCAGAAGCGGAGCTGGAGCTTTGGCGGAATGGAAGAGTAGGATTGGGGGGGTGGGGGTGAAGTCAATCGTTTTTGTAAACCTATATCAGTTCCTTATTGATTACCGCCGGTCGGGAAATCTTCAGCCACAGTCGGTGGAAGCCCGTCTCAGCGGCTCTTAAGAGATAAGAGTTTGCTACAAGCCTGACATTGCGCTTAATGCGTAGATTGCTCAGTTCCACCGCCTGCGCCACTACCAAAGCGATGACAGCCACGCACCACATGCTCTCTTTTCCGGTTAATTCTCAAAGGCCAAGCTCCCGCCGTGGGGATATCAAAGGAAAGGATAGGGAAATGTGGGAGAATGTTGGTGCACCCTGGGGAAGGGCATGGACTATAGAATACTTGTTTGCGCTTCAGTTACTATTCATCCGAATCCACCAAGCCCAAGGGAGGGGACAAACCAATCATAATTGTGATTATTTATTGGCCACTCCTAATATAAGTTTCCAGGGGTGGTACGGATGGGGTCAAAAAAAACTCTTAGCTACCGCTCACAATATAGGAAAGGGGTTTTTCCGGACAGCTGCTGTCCCTAACACCGGTTTACTCTATAATATAACCTTTTATTGCCCGGTGACATTATTTGGAAACCTTGGTCAGCGCGGTGGTTGATAAACTACGGTAACTCCTACCCACACTTCGGTAGCGCCTTAACTTAGAGGTTACATTGGGGAGACGGGTACAGTCCAAATTGGTGGGATAACAGAAGGAAGGTGGAATAAGATTCCAATATTTGTTCTAATTCCGTACCCACCTTGGTTTCATAGCGTTGAGTCTGTTGAACCGGAGTTTTCGAATACTTTTTTACATCATTCCCGGCCTATCGTTCCTTCCCTACTTAACAAAGCCTGGGTTCCGATTCATTATATCGATAGAGTGTGATTTTCAAGGTCGGAATGTCAGTGACTCGAGGTGTATATTTCATGTTTCCGCTGAGCATCGAAATACAGGGAAATATCCTTTTTAAACATAACGAGGTATTAGTAGTCACAAGCTCGGTAGGCTTCTCCTGCGGGCATACGGACCCCACATTCTGAGACCATAAAATATCGTATGGTCGGGCCTCCCATCTTTGGGTTTCTTTGACCAAATTCTGGTGGAAAAATCTCCACCAGGACGAGATAGACTAAAAACCACTGTTTGCTCTTGCACTCCCCATCCCCTCCACGGTTGGCATATTTCCCCGTCTCCTAAACCCACCCCCACCCCCCCGCCCCCCAGATACCAAGACACACCGAATTGGCGACCTCTATGAATTGATATGACTACTAACGAGAGCAAGGCTTGATTTTCTTACCACCCGCGCAGCTGTGGGTTTTTATGCTAAACTAAACTATCGAGTGAAAGAAAAGAAATATCAGAAAACCCGAGGTCAGTAATATGAGAACCTCGGAGGAAAGAATTTGTCAAAGCCTCGGAGAGGAAGAAAACATATGAGAACCCCAGACAACGAAAAGACAGCAATACCATAGTTGAATATAGCATAGTTGTGCGGTTGTGAAACAAACGAAGAGATGAAGAAAAAACTCAAACAATAGAGACTGCGATTTCGCATCCAGAGTCAAATTCTAGCGATCTAATTGGCCCAGAACCCTGTTTGACCCACATCCAGAGTCTTTTCGCAAAGTCCCTAATATCTAACCCCGAAGAGAGAGATGAGGAAAGCACTAGGAGAAGCTAACTGAAAGGAAACTAGTCTGTTTGACGGATAAGCACTAAATCCAACAATCTCAGCGGGTGAGAACTGGTGATCTTTTGTCACAAAAATTCTCCAGCATGTCATAAATGTTGGAGAAGTCTCTCGGGGGTAATACTGTAAAATTGAGTAGTAGTATAAGGGGCGGACTATAACAGGGCTCGACCGGTCTGGAGGAGTAGTAGGCCCAGTATAGTCAGAGCCTTCGCTCTCTCGTTGGGCGTCTTCTCTAAATTAATGGCAAAGGTAGGCGCATAAATAAAACATGATGAAAGTATCCTGATCCTTCCATGGATCACCGCATGTCTCTCATCTCCCCCATGTATGCCCCTATTCCTCCGCGCGTGCCCGCGATGACAGTGGAAAGGTATATATAGAGAAACTTCTCGGTAAACCGCGATCACTCAGGAACGCGAGGAACCACATCCAGAACCCTCGAAAGCTCCCGTGATCAACCACAGCACACTGTCCTTCGCCAGGAACTTCACCAACTTCAACAATAAAATTAGGGCAAGGCACAGAACATAGCAAAGCACTGCATTGCGTTCGTTATGTCGGGGTACATATAATAGTGGGAAAAAGATAGCAATAGGTGACAGTCCCAGCAGCTCTTTTCACCACAAAATATTATGCATTCATTGTGCAAATCCTTAGTAGTGTTAATCATGAAGGCGAGTAGGGCAATATCTAGATCTGCTCATTAGATCGGGAAATTTCTGCTGGGTCTCAAAATCTCATCAGAGCTTAGATCCAAGAAATGAGGAGGGGGGGGGGGGTTGCTCCACTACCCCCCACTGCATACCTATAACCTTCTAGACAGTGAAACACTCGAGTGTGAAAAATCGAAATTTGGGTCCTGTACCCAAAAACCTCTGATATATGAGTCTACTTTTTATTTTTCCTAGCCTCTATCTCTGTTTTCCTCAGCTAAATACCGGGAACTAAAACCTTTCTGGGTCGAGGTATTATGAATATAATGAAATTACGCTTATGAGACTTGGGAAATACAAGCACAAGGAGAGCTTTATGTTATCATATTCCATGGTGGCGGGGAGTCTTCAAACTGAATATTGAGAAATAAGTCCTAATGTGTCGGAAGTGGTGACCTTGGGCTCGCTTGACCAATTGCCCTCAAGTCTCCACATCTCTAGCCTTTTGAACCAAAGCCGAGGGGGGGTAGTTCGGAGTCTCGGGGATTTGGGAGTCGATTATCTACATTTTGGCGTCAAAATAGGCTAGGACCACTTCCAAACCCTTCCTAATTCCCTCGTTAATTCTTCTGATGTTATTGGGGCTCGCGCAAGGGTGCGCTGTACCATCGTTTCACACCCAGTTTGAGTCAAACGGTGGATAAGGCCTATCGGTGCCCTGTGATACCAAGCAGTTCCAAACAATCGCATCCTCAAGGAGATTATCTAGCCATATGCTGGTTCGGCACGACTGCTCGTAGGATAATAAATATTTTGGTGCTCTCTGGGAGGGTGCGGCCGATTTGGGGTGTTACAGTTGGTATGGGTCTCCGAGTGTGCTACGGTAGGGTACCGGTACTTAGCATGTACGTGGATCTTGCAACCCCACCATGGATTCAGCCTCCTGCGCGTGTCTTGTCTGCCCAAAACATCAAGTGTCTCCTGCAGCCAATCAGGTGGTGATGTAACATGAACGATCGGGCCGTGCGGGGTCAAGTTCGCTGAGCCGCACAGTTTCACCCCAACAATTTTGAGTTCTCTGTGTAAAGTAAGGTAGCCGTCCCATCCCCCTTGCTTCTTTCATTCTTCCTCACCTAAACGAAGATCACCTTTACAAGCGCCCAAGAACAAATTCCATTCCTGCATTAACAAAGGCCAACTTCTTGTAATCCAAAAGTCAACTCATAAGATGGGCAATGTGCAATCACAACAATCGTAAGTTCCTAGAGTGTCCCTTGTATTTATCTGCGTTTCCATCTGCTAAAGCCGATTGCTATCGCTCTGCCTCCCGCCGCAAATAGCGATACTCGAGGTGACTATAGCAGCAACAGCGGTTCCTATAATACCTTCGGCTCCGGTAACACCACCAACAATCATTATTACGGCCCCGGGAGCGGAAGCACGCCGGAGAACTACACCGAAATCTTGCAGCACCTATACCCACCTGGTTCTAGCTACGAGGAGCACCGAAATCGGGTTCCGGAGCCGGTGGAGGGAACCTGCACCTGGGTTACTGATCATCCAAAGTATCGGGAATGGTTTCAAAATAAGCCGTCCGGCCTACTCTGGTTATCGGCGGATCCGGGTTGCGGAAAATCTGTTATCTCCTCATTCCTTGTCAAGAATCTTAAAGCCCGACCCGGCTCCATCGTTTGCTATTTCTTTTTCAAAGACGATAGTGAGGAACAAAGGAGCGCACTATCAGCTCTTCGCGCCATACTACATCAGCTTTTTGTACAGAGGAAATCCCTCTGCATGTATGCCCAGGAAGCATTTGAGGCTAAAGGCAAGAGGTTCATAGAGGAGGTGGATACATTGTGGGATATCTTAGTTAAGGCCGTGGCTGGGGGGAGGTGCGGTGATGTAATTTGTGTGGTGGACGCTTTGGACGAGTGCGACCAGATGACTCTCACTCCGCTCATCCGTCACATAGCCCGCCTCCCTGGACCAGAAACTTCCGATGTTCCCTTGAAATTCCTTGTTACAAGTCGCCCATACCACGAAATAGAGAGAAAACTTGGCTCGCCCGCAACCACGATCCGGCTAAAGGGCGAGGACGAAGTCAACAACATCACTGCTGACGTTAATCGCGTCATAGATGAGGGCATTAAATACTTAGAGTCATATTGGGAACAACCTGAGGGGCTAGGATATCTGCGGGATCTCCTCAGATCATCGGCCGACCGGACCTTTCTTTGGGTTTCCCTTGTTCTCGAGGCTCTGAAGGATTGTCGTGACGACTCGCCTGAGGTGTTCACTAATATTGTCTCGACTGCTCCGCAAAGTCTGGTACAATTTTACACCAAGATACTTGATACGGGCGCGGACCCCGAGAGAGCCAGACGAATTTTAAATATAGTGGTAGCCGCCGCAAGGCCTCTTACACTTCGGGAAATGAACGTCGCGTTTAGGATCACGCGGGAACATGAGACAATCCACGATCTCCGGGAACTTCCTGGGGGGTTCGAAAGAACGGTGAAACATTTATGCGGACTTTTTGTGAGGATTATTGATTCGAAAATTTACCTCGTTCACCAAACAGCGAGGGAATTCCTTATTCAAGGAACATCTGTTGGTCAGGGGAACTGGCAGTATACCATACATCCCATCAAC